GAATTCCAAGTTGAAGATTTGGTACTGTGAAAAGTGGTAGGGAATACGTGTGAGCCCACTGATGGAAAACTTGGTCCTAATTGGGAAGGTTCTTACAAGGTAATCTCCGTGGGGGGTACTGGCGCATATCGTTTGCAAAATATGGATGGTGACGATGTAATTCGACCATGGAATGTATCAAATTTAAAGAAATACTATTACTAAATCTGGTTTCAGTCTTCATGGTGCTACAAACACGAGCCAAGCGCTCGGTCGTTGGGGGCACGGCCCTGAGGGGTGTAAGACTCCACCGTTGGAGCAACGCTCTTGAAACAAACACGAGTCAAGCGCTCGGTCGTTGGGGCACGGCCCCAAGGGGTGTAAGACTCCACCCTTGAAGCAACGCTCTCGAAACAAACGAGCCAAGCGCTCGGTCGTTGGGGGCACGGCCCCGAGGGGTGTAAGACTCCACTCTTGGAGCAACGCTCTCGAAATAAACAAGTCAAGCGCTCGGTCGTTAGGGGCACGGCTCTGAGGGGTGTAAGACTCCACCCCTGGAGCAACGCTTTCAAAAGAAACACGGGCCAAGCGCTCGTGTCCTAAAAACCCAATAGCGAGCTCCGAGTGGCTGTTTCCTAGAAATACGGTTAACAGAGAAAAAGCTCAAGTGGAAGTACTTATAGGAGGTTGGTCTTCGGAGAGAGCTCGGAGAACCAGGGAAACTCGGAGGACAGGGGAGCACTTGGGGTCTGATTGCTGAGGAGCGATGAAGGATGCAAAAGTTCTTAAAAGACAAAGAAACCCCCTATTTATAATGCCTCATAAGGAGCGAGAATCGAGGAGTTGGCTCATCATTAGGGCATTTGAAAAGGGCGGCACCAGACGTGCAAGCAACCGTTACCGTTAATGAGGCATGATGATAGAGCCCCAATCCCTTCACTCCACTTGTCGAGTGCCGCGTAAGGGATTACGGCTGGGGGGCAGTTGGCGGGACTCCTGTGTAGATCCTCAACTCCCAGGGTGACACATGGCCCAATAAAGTCATTAGGATGTCTAAAAGATGCCGAGGGGATGAGCCGAGGCATGGTGACACAGAGCGGCCGAGTACAACAGTTGGCATCATAGTCAAAGCGATGTGACCTCGCATTTATGGCGAGATGAGTGATAGTGACAAGACAAATAAAGGCGGTGTTGCCACCAACTACTCTCTGCAAGTCTATGCCTACTGTCATGATGACTGGAGCATTAATGACTGATGCGCCGAAACAACGCGATTGGTTCTCTCGAGTTCTCTGATCCACCTAGTAGTCCGTGCCCTGTCGGTGTCAGTCGCCGACCTCTTGGATTGGGCTGCTCGGCTCGTAGTATAAATGTTCGGCTTGCGGCCGAGCACTTATACCATTCCCCGAGCATTCAATTCGAGGAGGCGTAAAGGGGAAGCATTCACAGCACGAGGGATGGTGTGTCAGATGTTAGATGTCCAGATGAGACTGAAGATCTAGAGCAATCATTGTTAATTCAGGTATAAATATCCCTCAGAAAAATAGACAAAGGGACGCAAAATCAAACCATAGTTCATTGACTAAGAAACATCCCTTTAATCTTACTGACTTAAGCTTCAGAGGGGATTGACTGGGCTCATGTCTGGCCCCTTTTCTTCTAACCCCATTTTTCAGGTTTGTCAGTCAAGGGATCGCTATCTTATGAGATTACAAGATCTATCCCGTGCAATAATCTATCACCACTTTCGGTTCAGTTGAACACTTGAAGTGTTTTTGAGTTATATTTTCCTCGGCCCTTTTCATACGTTGCTTGTGTTCACATATTATGGAGTAGGATTTCGTTGGACCTTTTTATATTATACCTTTAAATATTAAATTTTTCATATTATATTTTTAATATATAAAAAATATTGTAATATAGTTATTCTGTTAGTTTTTTGTTAATTTTTTTGTCAGTATTAATGAGGTGTTTTTTGATGGAAAAAATAACAAAATTAATAAAAGCGATATTACAATACTTTTCATAAATTAAAAATGTATAATATGAAAATTTTAATATTTGATCATATAAAATAAAAATCATAAAATGTTTGGGGATATAAAATATAAAAAATCCAAAAAAGTAAACCAAACAAACAGTATACTTTGTGACAACCATAATCCCTTTGGGTGTTTTGGGTAATGGGGTGGGATAGTGTAGGTTTTTTTTTTTAATATCCTAACCAATCCCACTCATCTATTTTAAAACCTTAACCCAAATTTATATTCAATCCTAACATTTGTTTGGGAAATAAATGTATAATTTAGTGGATCCCATAGATTACACAAATAATTTTGTAGTAGTTTACTATTCTACCTATGACTCTATCCATTCCAATCCAAATCAATCATATCCTATGTTTGGTTAACCCATCTAAGCCTAATAAAATTATACATTTTCCACATATAAGTAAAAATAAATAAAAATAAGGAAAGTTATATATATATATATTTGTATTTTTTTTTTCAAACAAATAAACACTTTATTTCATTTCTTAAAAATTGATTACAATGGGAGAAAGGCAAACAACCTTGCCTTAATATGTTTCGACCGGTGGATTATTCTAATAAAATTATACATTTTTCACATATACTTAAAAACATATAAAAATTATATATGATTTAGACTCCTTGTTTAATTTTTTAGTTTTATTTCAATAAATAGTATAATTATATACTAATTACGATTTTTAAGAAAAGAATAATTTTTTATTTTTTATTTTATTTCAATAAATAATACAATAGAATATGAATTTTGATAGTAAAATAATATTTGATATTCTATCTTTGATTGAAGTATTTTTGGTCTAAGTATAATATTTTAAATTTAAGGGGTCTAAGTATTATATACTTACTACAAACTTCAAAGGGATTTAAGTGTAGTTTATTAACAATATATTAATCTTGAGGGGTCTAAGTATTGCACGCGTATAAACTTAAGGGAATTTGTGTTTAATATTTTAAATATTAGGGGTTTGAATAATTCAATGACAAACTGCAGGAAACTGATTAAATTCGACACGATTTAGAATTAAATTTAAGTCAAAATATAATGCATTGACAATGTCTAATTTGATACTAGATATAAGCAAAGAGGGAGACTGGTGAGGCGGGTTCGTATCAAAAAATATTTTATTCATACTTAATTCGTTTATTAATTTGTGTCTAATAAATCGTATTATATCGAAGTTCGTGTCGTGTAAGAATCGTGTATATCCGATTTATAAACGAGTCGTATCGAGTATTTCTTTGATTGGTTTTATTCATATTCGATTCGTTTAATAATCGTGTCGTGTCAAGTCCACTCATTTATGAAATAGGTGGTTTAAGGAATGCTCAAACCCTCTAATTTGGTGTCATATTAATGATTCGTGTCATATTTTAACAATCTTAACTACAATGCAAATGTGAGATTGAGATAGTGGATTACATGCAATATTAGAACACACTTTTAATCCAAAGACAAATAATAGATTGGATAGGTAAATTGGGTTCAATATCAATTGGGCTGGCATTACCCTTCTTTCATTTGACCTAGGACTGAATTCAGATTTTTGTATTTTGGTCTTTCAAAATTTATTATTGTTTATTATTGTTTCTTTATTAATTTATTATGATTACTAATTAATGTAAGTAAACAAGAAGTTGACAATGTCAAAGAACAACTCAAGTTAACAAAATTCAAAATAGAAAGAAAATTACTTGTGCATACCCATAAACAACAAAAAAAATTGTTTTCCTAGTTTAACCTTAATTAACTCTTTAAATAAAATTTCATCCGTAGATTCTAAAAACTTGAGAAACTTGGGACTTAATGAATAATTAAGGGCAATAGATTAAACTTTTAAGAGATGAATAATGACAACATTAAAGTATACATTTTACATTTCCCTTAATCTATATCTATACTACTTCTATCTATATCTATATCTATCTATACTACAATAAACTGTCAGCAATTCTATAAAACTTTTACTTTCTTTTTTACTGTTCAACAATGCAATTAGGACATTTTTACATTTCAACATAATTGACTTATTAAACTTAAATAACGATCTAAACCTTTCAATGCCTCCTCCCCTTCCCCCTTCCCCCATGCTCCATTTTAGCTTCTTTGATAACTGTTACTATACTAGAGTTTCCTTCCGTTTTCCCCGTTTCTTTGCACTTCTGAATTGGTTATATCCTCTATTTTAGATATCTTTTTGAGGCAACATGCAACGAAATAGTATACTATGTATATGTTCAGGGTTGTTCATCAATCTTTCCTTCACTATGACCCGAGTTATTTTGGTGGATGATGGTATTCTTGACTGTCAAGGATTCCATTCGAGTTTCAGAATCACACCCAAGGTGGTTTATCTTCCAACATTGGTATTATTTTTTTTATATATATTTTTCTGGTAAACATTTTTTTCTCATTGTTTGATCTCATTTCTGACTATTTTCTTCACTTTCAGATTATCAAGCCAATTTTGGATTTTGTAACTTGCAACCAATTTCACCTTGACGTTGTTGCCCCTCTTATGTGTGTGAGAGACATTCAAACCATTAGATGTATACTTTTATTACTTCCTGTTTTTAAATCCTTTTTTGTTTGTCTTTGAAATGATTCACCATGCTTCAACATTCAAGGATTAAAACATCAAACCAAGGCCAAAATCAGGGAAAAGAAGGGTAGAGTCATCGATAAATATCAAGTAAACATTTGATCTTATTTTTGTTTCATTTTTGAGATTGAATACTTGAAATAGCATAATGTAGAAATTTGAGCTAACACCACAATTACATACATATTTGGCGTAGAACCTACAGATGGTGTAAAAGTAGCGGCTCTTATACCTCATAACTTTTTGATTTGGCATGCCTTACAAGCACAGAAAGATCGAGTGATCAAGGGAGATTTCCTTGATTCACATCGAGGGAGCCATCCAAAAAATTTTCATTGTCTTATTCATCTCAATTTCATCCTAGTCATTGCTATGCAACGGGATTATTTATCAGTTGGTGCAATCTTTCACCTATTCTTGATGTAGCTATGCCAATTCTCGAAGATAAAGCCTGCAAAAATCAATCCAGAGATATAAGTATTAATCATGACTCAATTTGGAACATCAAGTTGCAAGTATATCGTATGAAAATAATCGAATGAAAGACGTAAGTTAAAACTTAAGTTGTTAAAGAGTGTGTAACTTAAGTATTAATACTTTAACACGCTTCAGGTTAAATTTTAGACCTAGTATATGAAAATATTTTTAATCATTAAGGCAGCGGCAAGATTCGAAAACAGGACCTCTAACTTTGATATCATGTTAAACAACCATTTATTCCAAAAAGGAGAAGATGTAATATAAATATTTATACTTTAACACGCCCCTTCACATGAAGACTATATTTTTGCTTACATCCACGGACCTAACTACTACATCGGTGTATTATTGAAGGTACTTGAGCACATGAGAGCTCAACCCTAGTATGAGAATTACATATGATAGAAGATAAGTATAACATATATCTATCATCCTCTACATCTTAGATAGTGATGGTCTTTTTGGATCCTATCGTATGTCAATCTAAATATTGATGGATTTTTTCTGATCTTATTGTATCTCTGACACTTGTATATATTGATGTTTGTATCTATGTTTGCTATGTGTAGGGGTGGCCTTGGCTGGATTTAGCAGGCGTTTGATATATTTTGGAGTCATAAAAAGCATATGGTCTGCTGTAAAGTTCAAAGCATTGTAACTCATAGATGAAGCTATTGTGGTTTGAAACTGTGATTTGTGGTTTGAATGAGTATATTCATTCCTATATTTGTATTTCTTCTTTAAAAAGGGTACAACATGTGAGAGCTACTTATAATGGAGATGTCCATCATAATATTAAGTTGGTCTACACATGTTTAACTATGTGATTTGGTGTGCTGGTGCTGGTACTATCTCTCTCGATCGTGTCATTTTTTTATAACCACTTGATGGCTATTTACATTTATAGTGATAACTGCTACTGAAAAAATCACATTCACGTTTTTCAACTATATAGAATATATATATATGTATAGTTAAAATAAAGATAAAACCTGAGAATAAATTGTGTAGAAGACCCTGACACCCACAGTTGAAGAGCTAGCACTGACAACTTCAGCACCTTCTTGCTGAAGAACACTGAAAACTTGATGCAAAGTGAAGCTCTTACTTAAGCCAGTTATCAAATTCACCTCCAAAATAGAACCCATCTCTCTTATGGCAAGCACTGGTGACACCAACCCAATCATCTGATCTTTAATTCCAGCTCCATCAGCTTGGAGTTGTTCCTTCTTTTGCCTCAGTTCTTCCAGGTGATCCTTCAGTTGCTTCACGTAAATAGTAGCTTGATCCAACAACGCAGGAAATGACAGTCTCTCCTGAAATTCTTAGAGAGATGCATACAAATAAATATTTATATATACACACACGACACACAGAGATAGAGATCATAGAGAGAGAGGTACGTACCCTAGAGGGTTGGGTAGGAATGAGAGAGACAAGGTTGGACACATGATCTTTCATTTGCATTCTTCGATATTTTTCCATTTCATTTCGCCCAAGTTTAGATGAACTCTCACCTGGCTGCATCTATTCACTTGTGTTTGTTTGGCTTTCTTTTGTCCCTCCTTTTCTTTGTTAATGAGGAATAAAGGAAGCTACATGTGGAGAGAAGGATAAGTCTAGTCCTTTATATGTGCATGGAGATACATCTAGTTCCCCCCCCCCCCCCCCCCCCCCCCCAACCCGAGAGAGAGAGAGAGAGAGAGAGAGAACAAGGTTCTATAGCTCTACGCATTGAAGTCAAATCTACAACGCAGACTTTTTTTTCTTGTTTACATTGAAAAAATATTGATGCAGGGTAACGCAGGAGCCGCCCGAGATATTTTGGGGTTTAAAGCGGAATTAATAAAAAAGTTTTTTTTTTTAAATAAAAAATATTAATTCAAATTTTATATTCAAATTTTTATTATCATAGTTAAACTTTATGGTAAGAGAAAAATAGGGAAGAGCTTGATTTTTTTGGGAGCAGTTAAGACTTTTTTTTTAGTAGATTTAGTTTTATTGTTAACTTTTTTATTTTTGTTTTAGAAAAATTGAATTTTAGGACCTACTAATTCAGTTAGAGCCTTTTAATTTCATGGGTTGAATGAATTAATATGTTCAATCTAGGGCTGCAACTTGAATGGGTTAATTTGAACTCAATCCAAGCCTAACTAGAAAAAAACAGGGTTTGAGTTAGAATTTGTAATACTTGGGTTAGACTTGAGCTAAAAAACATCAACCTGAATTAAATTTGGGCAATCCTCAAGTTGTCGGGTTCAACTCGAATATTAAAATCGAGTTGAACCCGATTATTAAATTGGGTTGAACTTGAATATACATAAATATATTTAACTATGGTTAATATTTATCTTCACTTTTTAGAGTCTCGACTTTCACTTCACTTTAAATTTTCACCTTTACACCTTCATCACTCTCAGATCCCTCTGTCACTCGTCATTCTTCTCTCTCTCAATCGTTACTTGTCTAAGTTATTTCAGACTCTCAGCCTTTCACTGTCACTCGTCACTCCTCCATCTCTCATTCCCTTTCTCTTCATTTACTCTCGCCCTTTATCTCATATCATTTTAAAAAATCAGATCTACACTTAAAAAAATCAAATCTACACTTTAAAAAATCAACCCGAATTAAGTAACCTAAGTTCAACTGATTTTTAACTCAAAATCAGCCTGAATTCAACCCGACCTCGCCCGAATTAAACTCATTAAGTATCTCGGGTTGAGGTAGGGTTAGGGTTAGGATCGAAGATTATATACCTAATGTTGAGTTATGATTGACCTCTCAACTCACCCAACCAGCCCGAGTTATACCCCTAGTTCAATCCACTCAAGTTAAAAAAATTTATTTGAACTTAAATCTAGGATTTTTGTGGGGTTTATTTTTTATGGATTCATATTTTTTGTTTGAAGTATTACTATACATCTAAAAATTAGTAAAAATTGGGACTAAGTCCTCCTAAAGGAATTTATAACGAGTTTAGTCCGTTAAAATTTTTTTTTTGGAGATAAGTTCGTTTTTACTTTACTAATAAGTACTTAAGTCTACTATTTTTTTTAACTCTAAAATACTCTTCTTTAAAAGCAACTTTAAATTAATTTCCCAACTTGAGGATTGTTATCCATTAATTCACTTTCAGTGAAGATATGCTAATAATTTTTTTTACATAAATTTAAAATTCAAATTCAAAGAACAATTGATATTCTCTCTCTCTTTATATATATATACTAGTAATTATCCGTACTGAAGACACTATGTTACTCGTAAAAAATTTCAAATATTTATTCATAAATAAAGAAAATGTATAATACAATTTCAACAATATAACGATCAAATTAATATTATTCAACTTGTATACAGAACATATACATTTAAACTTTTATATATCGAAAGTCACGTTACAATTACTGCAACATATTAATTTAAAAATCTGAAAAAATATAATTATTATTGATTAAACATTCACTATTTTAACATTTTTAATAAAGTTTATCTCAAATTTAAAAAATTATAACTTTTTGTTTTTCTGCAAGTTTATATCTAAAGTTTATAATATTATCGTTGCACTATTTTTTCAATGTGAGTTTGTGTAACTTTTATGAGAAAAACATCTAAAAGTTTCATGCGAATTATTGTAAATATAAAAAACTTTGTTGAGAAGTTAAAATAATTTTCATTTCAGTTCAATTTAAATATTCGTAAAATTCAATCAAATTTAATTTTAAGTAAGAATTTATATTTTGTACTTGACAACCAAATTCGGCTCAATTCGAGTCTTAATCATAATTATGTCAAACCGAGAATTGAATTTAAGTTCGACTTAATTAATATTTTTATCTTAACCTACGAACTACTTCTTATCTATTCTCATTCACAATGACACTATAATTTTTTAAAATTTTATTATTTTTATAATCAATTTCAATTTAACTTCAAATTTGAATAAACTCATAAAATTCGAGCAAAATTAAGTTTAAGTAAGAATATATACTTTATACTCGATAATCAAATTCAGTTCAATTTGAATCCTAATTATAATTACTTCAAATCCATAATTGAGTAAAATGAAAGAATTCTTGTAATTTTTGGTCAAAAAATTATCTGGAGTAGTTTCGATCGTTTGATTAACAATCTTAAAACAATTTGAACCGCAAAAAGTTCAAAACAAACAATGCTAGCCCCCTTAGTATATAGATACATCACAAATTATATATATATATATATATATATATATATATATATATATATATATATATATATATGTATTATTTGCTTATTATACCATTGAAATATTATAGTATTTTTATTTCAGTACAAAATATGACATATATTATAGTCAATCAACTTGTTTTGACGCAAAGAATCTGTATTTAAGGTCCATTTATTTATTTAAAAATTTTAAAAATAATCCTTAATTATATAGAATCATAATTAACGATCAAATTAATGTGTAATATGAGATAGAGAAATAGAGAGAGAGAGAGAGAGAGAGAGAGAGAGAGAGAGTTATAAGAGGTATAAGAGTTTTAGAATTGTGGAAGGAATACAAGTCTTGTTCAAAAAATTAGGAGGGGAAATTTTGCATTAGGACCATCAAATTAATAATCGTCAAGTAATCTGAGTCGTGAAAATATAAAGACAAAGAAATCTAGTTTCTTTATTATATACTAGTAATTACCCGTACCTGAAGGCACTATGTTACTTCTAAAAAATTATAAATATTTTTTCATAAATAAAACAATGTATAATATAATTTCAACAATACAACGATCAAATTGATATTGTTCAACTTGTATATAGAACATACATAATCAAACCTTTATATAACGAAAGTCAAGCTACAACTACTGCTACATATTAATTCAACAATCTATAAGAAAATATAATTTTTATTGATAAAAAATTCACTATTTTAACATTTTTAATAAACTTATCTCAAATTTCAAAAAAATATAACTCTTTTTTTTTTCCAGGTTTCTACCTAAAGTTCATAACATTATCTCTGCATCATTTTTTCAATGTGAGTTCGTGTAACTTTTGTGAGGAAAACATCCAAAAGTTTCACGTGAATTCTCTTAAATGTAAATAATTTTGTTGAAAAATTAAAAATAGTTTTCATTCGTATAATTCAATCAAATTTAAGTTTGGATAAGACTATTTCCACCCTACAAATCTCCATTTCACCCCCATTTAATTTATCATTATCAAATTACTAAGTCCACCCCTTCTATACCCATTCCATTAGTAACTAAATCCACCCAAGCTATATACACCCTGTTTAATAAGTAAACTCACATTATATTTTGTCATAATTAGGGTTTCATTCTTTATTTTATCTCATTCACTCACAAAAATACTTTTTTAACATGAATTTTTTCATTGAGATACATATTATTATTACTTCTCAATTTAATTCAGTATTTGATTTCCTTTTTGTTACATGGATTTTCATTATTTTCGGTATGTGTTGATCTCTCTGTCAAGTTTAATAATTTTTTATCTAGAATTTATATATGTGTATATATATGTACGCTTTTAGATTTTTTTTTTAATTTTTTTTATCTTGTTTAGGTTTTCCATCTATCCTTCTTATTTTTTTTCTTGTTCGATTTTGTGTTTATCCTTGATACTTTTTTTTTTCATGTCCAGTTTTATGTCTTGTGGTTTTGTGTTTTGTAGTTTTTCTTATTCCTTTAATCTTTACTTGATTTTTTTTTGTCCTTCTCAGTTTGCTTTTTTTTTTTTTTTTTTTCTTATTTTGTTCTTTTCTTTTTAAAAGAGATGTATGTAGCATGGGGTGAGTATATAAAGCGTGGACTTAATAGTTTGATAAAGAGTAATTAAATGGGGTGGGAATAACCCCACCCTTTAAGTTTAAGAAAAAATTTATACTTTATACTCAACAGTCAAATTTAGCTGAATTCGAGTCTTAATCACAATTACGTCAAACTGAGAACTAAATTTAAGTTCGACTCAATTAATACTTCTATCTTAAACCTAGAAACTAATTTTTATTTATTCTCATAAAATTCAAGTAAAGTTAAATTTAAGTAAAAATATATACTTTATACTTGACAATTAAATTCAGCTCAATTCGAATCATAACCAAAATCATTTCGAATCGATAATCAAATAAAATGAATTTTGGAGGAGAAATTTCAATCGTTTGATTAATAATCGTAAAACAATATGAGCCGCAAAAAGCTCAAGACAAATAATGCTGACTTTTTTTGTATATAGATATATCACATTACATATTTATTATTCGCCTATTGTATCATCTGAACAGTATAATATTTTTATTTCAAAACAAAATATGACCCATATTGTAGTTATTCGGCTCGTTTTGACCCAAAGAAGCTATATTTATAGTCCATTTGTTTATTTGAAATTTTGAAAAATAATCTTTAATTAGAATCATAATTAACGACCTAATTAATGTATAGTATGAGATAGAAATAGAGAGTTATAAGAGAGATGAGAGTCTTAGAATTACAGAAGGAATAAAAGTCTTGCTCAAAAAATTGGGG